CATCAGAGTGGTATCATCTGCATATCGGAGGTTGTTGATGTTTCTTCCGGCAATCTTAATTCCATTTTGGGATTCATCCAGTCTGGCCTTTCACATGATGTATTCTGCATATAAGTTAAATAAGCACAGATTAACATGGCTATATCTTTTAAAATATTACAGAGTATGAACAAATACTGGATTACCTTAGCCAGAAGTTGAATTAAAATGGCAGTGTTTACCAGAATAAGCAATTAAAACGACCTCTTGAGAAAATTATGCTATTAATCCCATAATTACAACTTTAATCTAAAAAAGTGTGACCTAGTTTTGTAACTCTGCATGTTATATAATTCATCATCTGGTTGGCTTTTGAAATCCTTTCATATTTTTTTTTGTTTCACCATTCATATATTATTATACTTTAATTATAGTTATTACATGTGGGATGTCTAACAAGACGTTGGGTTGTGAAGTTACCTTGTTTATTGCCAGTTGTGTCCTCTTCTGTAATCTTCCACTCCTCTGTACCTCAGCTTTTTGTTTCTCCATCCCCTTTCAGTCAGCACTCAGTGGCTTCTAAGCATACTCGGCTGTCTTGGTTATTTTATACCACTAGAATTTTAACTCTCCAGGTGTTTTGGTCTTTCTGCCAATCTTTGCTTCTTCTAATCTAAGCTGATTAAGTATCCCTCTTTTAAACATCCTTTTGGTTAGCAAACCAGTGGTACTCAGCCTGAACATGGAAAGCAGAAGTTAAATGGAAGCAAAATGGCTAAAATAACATGCATTATTTTACACTAATAGTTATTCTTGCATTTTTATGAATAAATGGAAATGACCTCATAATTAATGTTGCGATTTGCCTAATAGCAGAGACTGTTGAAGTTGGTTTTTAGATTATGTGGATTTGTATTCAAAGAAGGGTAAACAAAGTTCCATTTGTGCAATAAAACTTTTCTCCTCATTCTTCCTGTTGCAGTTGGGGCCTTTTGAACTTGAAGTGAAAGCAAAAGCAAAGGGTGCTGCTTATATACCAAAAGCAAAAAGCACTCTGAGAGATTTATCATTTAATTATGCAGACTACACAGAGAAGCTGTGGTTGGGGAGCCTCTGGAATGGGATGGGGTGGCAGTTACAGCTGGATAAGAACAGTGTTGCCCTGCTTGATGATTACCCCACTCCACGACGAACCCGCTTTACAATGAGTTTTTTGCAATCACAAAACGATGTTTAAATGGGGAAAATCTGCTTTACGATGATCGGTTCCCTGCTTCGGGAACCGATTCTTCGCATTACGATGGTTTTAGAACAGCTGATTGGCAGGTCACAAAATGGCCGCCCGCTGTGCAAAATGGCTCCCCGCTGTGTTAAGGACGGATTCCTTGCTATACAGGTACCGGAAAATGGCCGCCCTATGGAGGATCTTTGCTGGGCGACGAGGGATTTCGCCCATTAGAACACATTAACCGGTTTTTAACGCATTCTACTGTAATGGATTTTTTACTTTCGCTTGACGACGATTTCGTTGTACAGTGATTTTGCTGGAATGGATTATCGTCATCAAGCGAGGCACCACTGTACTGACAAATATTTCAGAACTCTTCTGTGTGAATGAAAGTGCCTTATTGTGGTAGAACTTTGCTGGATATTTGTTGTACATAGTAATGACACTCTCAGCTGAAGGCAAGACTAAGATGTAATTTATATTTTCAGCTTATCTTTATATGGTAAAGATACAACATTCACAGAAGAAAATAACACTAATAAAGAAATACGGAATATAAATGGAGGTAAGAGTGTTTTTATTCTTTAGTTTTTATCTTTAAAATTTTAATTATAATCATTTTCCAGATATTCATATAAACACCAATTTTATGTTTTAAAATAAAATAAAACTTGGTTCCTAGAAGGGAATAACTTTTGTTCTGCTTAAGTACTGTGAGCCTGCTTTGAATAGTTAATGAAGCAGATTTTAAAAAACCTCAATTACTTGAGTGATTACTGATGCCCTGCCACCTCCATTTCCAATACTGCTACATAATGGTCTTATAATGGCAAATTATGTCTCTTAGTACGTATAGTAAATTGACTGGAATAGGCCCATTGAATGAATAAGGTTTTAGTGAGTCAGCCCCTCTTTTAAATTCTGCTGATTCAAATAACTGTGTGTGATTGGGTTCTGTGTTTTTGGGCAACTCCTCACTTTCAGTGGGAAATAAAAGGGGAGATGTCTTAACTTTTAAACTGTCATTTTTATTGTCACTTGTCTCCTCCAGCCCATTATTCATAGGGTCAAAGATTTTTAACTCTGGCAACAAGCCACAACTGACAGAACTAAAACTCTTCTAATACCCCCACAGACTCAAACGGGGGGTGGGTGGGTTCTCCCATGCCATTCCCAGTATTCTGGCCTTTGGGGAGGAATACTCCTCAGGGCACAGATCGTCCCACAACATGCGTGTCTAACCCAACCTCACTCGTCTGGTCTGTCGTAAAAACGATTGTGGGCAATCTCGACTTCTCTTTGTAATTCAGGTTCGTGTGGCGCCGCAATCACAATCCGTTCCTTAGTTAGGAACTGGGTCAGCTTCTCTTCCCTCGGGTTAGGTTCAGGCAACAGCCCTCCCATTTTTAAGTTTGGAAAGTTTCTCAGGAGTCCTTGAGTCCTTACATACTCAACTTCTCCTCGGTTCTGCCCTCTTTTTCTCATAATCCGCCAACACTGAACTGAACCAGCACACCCCCTCCTCGCTTATATCCTCCTCCCACACTGTCACCTCTTGCTCCGCCTTCTCCTTTGATTCAACTTCTCCCGCATTTTCCGTAACTGTCACTTCTTTAGTCTCCTGCTCTTCCTCACTCTTCCCATCTTTTCCTCCTTCTCTGGCCTCTATCACTATCGATGGCTCAATCTCACTTGCTCCTCCTTCACATTGTGACTTACTTTAGTGTAGTAAATTGCAGTTAGAGTAGGCCCATTTGAATTATTGGGGCTTATAAAGGAGTTTACAGTACTCACCAAATCCCCATTGATTTAATGGGCCTACTCTAGTAGGTGTGTGGAGTCACTTATGGGGATGCTTAGAACAGCTTTGTGTCTTTGATAGAGAAAACACAAATTAAAAAATAATAATAAGGAAGAAATTGTAGAATTAGTAACCTCTTCCATTCCCTATTTTCTAAATTTAACCTGTGAACTGCCTTCTTGTGATTTTATAACTTTTGCTAATTATAACCAAATAAATAAAACACAGTGTCATCTAGAAGTTTACATATGATGAGACTGGAGTAGCTTTCCTTTGATCTGTAGGTTAGTAAACCATCCCTATTCTGTGAATTTTTACCCCAAAGTAAGTTCTGCTAAGTAACATGACAGTAAGCCCCATTGCCTGCAGTGAGATTAATTTCATGAATATGCATATAATGCTTCAGCCAAAGTATAGAATGCATTCTATACTGTGAGTATTCAGAGTTACTGTCCATTCAAACTCATCAAGAGGGAAGGTGCATACACTGACTGCCAATAAATTTCAGGTCTGAATTCAAGGGGCTAGTGATTTTCATTGTCCATACCAGTTAGGTCTTTGGTACAGTGGACCCTTGACCTATGGAATTAATCTGTATTGGAACGGTGGCCGCAGGTCGGAAAGTCCGTAGGTCGAGGGTCCATTTCCCATAGGAATGCATTGAAAACCTGTACAGTGGGGTCTCGACTTACGAACGGCTCGACATACGAACATTTCGAGTTACGAACCGCTCTCATAGGAATATATGGACTCGACTTACGAACTTAGATTCAAGTTACGAACTCTTTTTTTCCCTTTTTTTAAAAGCTAAGTCATCTTAGGTTAAAAGGAAAAAAGAAAAAAATATATCCCCCTCTAGTGGCAGAAGGTGGAATAGCAGC